CCCACCCCCGGGCCCCTCCCTCTCTCCCTCCTAAAAGTAAGCACTTTTTATTAGAGAGCCTACAGAGTCACTCCACCCACATTATCAAACAAGAAATTTAGCACTGGATTGACAAGTCTGATGAAAGAAAGTTACTGTGAACTACCTCTAGCAAATGTTTGATAACCTAAGGAACTAGGAGTTGTGCGAGATAGAAAATAACTAATTAATTCAACTGAAATCTTGTTTTAATGTACTCCTATGTGAAAAGATAAATAGTCTTCAACCCAAAACAGGAAATAGCTCCACTTCTTTATCAAGCACCTTGAGTTAATCCCAGCTATAACATTCAGTATGAGTCTATTAGATTTACCTACACCTGCCGCGCTTGTGGACTATAGCAGACTACTTAGTATATTAAAACACAAGTTGATCCGAACACCATCATTATTAAAAGAATAGAAAGATGTTTTATAACGTAAAAGCATGTCATCCATCAACGTTGGTGTACCTTGTTCTTGACGATCCCAGATAAAAACCTTATATAATAAATACAGAGTTCACCAAAGGCCCAAAGCAATAAAAGGCAAGGGCAAAATAATAACTCTGAAAGAAAAGAAGAAGAAAAAGATAGAAAGAGCGAGAGATGAAGAAGAATAGGAAGGTAAACTGCAGATAAGGACCATGTGAAAGACAAAGAAAGTAGAAACACAGGAAATGTCACCTTATCTGGAGAAGAGGACGGGTGAGTGGACCTTGGACCATGGTCCAACCTGTCAGGCCCTCTGTATAGGGTATCCAAAATCCATGTGACCAACCAAAGCTTGCTCTTCTAAAGTACATTTCAGCAATCATCTGCATTCAAATCCAATAACCCGTTTGGACATAAGAAAATTTTCATTTTTTTCTAAAATTTTTCATTTTTTTCCGAAATCAGTGTTGGCCATAAATTTTTAAATTTTCACTTAGAAGATGAATTTTGGGATTTTTCAAAAATTTGAAAAACTCTAAAAAACTGTTTTTCAAAATTCACTCAGATCACTCACAAAATTTCAAAAACAACCCAAAATTATATTCATGTCCAAACACAACTCTAGTTTTCAAATACCATTTTCACTTGAAATTTTTTTCACTTTTTTCCGGAATTTTATAATTCTTATGTCCAAACGCCCACTAAAACTCTGTATATCGCTCTCTCCGTTCCAATTTATGTGACACTTTGTGCTTTTCGAAAGTCAATTTGACTAATTTTCGAAGCTAAATTAAATTTAAAATTTAAATTTAAATATTCAAAAATTATATAAAAAATACTATAAGTTGCAATACTTTTCATGTCAATATGATGAAAATTTACAATTTAAAATGTTGTTCAAAGTTCACATAGCCTGAATCTCGAGCAGCAAAAAGTATCATAAACTGGGACGGAAGGAGTATTATTAACACTAGTATTCCCCCTTCCTTTTTTCTGGGACCCGTATGGGGACCCGTTAATACCATTTCTCAAATGGGGCTTGAGCTTGGCTTCCTTTTCTTGCCCAAGAATTTGATATTTATGTACGGCCATGGACAATCCATCCCATGCATGCACAAAGAATGCAAAAAAGGGATTTAGGCCTCTCTCTCTCTGCTGCTTCCTGTCACACATGCTCCTTTTGGCTGTTGCAGCACAGCAAGAGCATATGATTTAGGCCGCGATAACATGCTCATGTGAGTATGTTTCGCCCATTTCTCTCATACCCTTCTCAATGAGCATTTTCTAATGAGCAGAAATAGTGTTCTGTATCGCAGTTAAATCAACAGGTACTTTTTTTTTTCCTCCTACGGAGGGAATGAGAGAGGGAGTGAGGGAAAAATATAAGATTGTTCAGCCACAGCGAATAGAAGTGAATCCAATGCCTCGATTTCAGAATCTAATGTAGACACACATGATCTATTACAAGAATAACAATTAAGAACAGTCGTGTAATGGAGGATGGGTTAAAGAATGAATGAAATTAGAGTACACTAGACTAAGCTCCCCTACCAAAACTTCAATCGAATACCACAAACATGTGCAACTGCTGCAGCAATAGATAAAATGTATGCATATCCAACCAAGATAGCAAGTGCAGTGAATGGTGAGACAAAGAGGGTATCAATGGACAGGTTAACCAATCCAGTTAGCACGTTAGCCTGCATGATCGAATGATGATTTTGTGACTGATCATCCAGAGATCAAAGGATGGACAGAAAGCATTATAGAACGATGATGTCAGCAATAAATTTTTCTCACCAGAAGAAAAGAGCCCAGTAAGTTTCGGTCAAAAACTTCTATCAACGCAGAAACTTTATATCCAGGTACATAATCAGCTAGAGTTAAAACTGCAAAAACCTGAAAAGGAGAAACGATGAGCCATGCCTAAATCAAAAAAGAAATGAAACATTATCCGGAATCATGCCAGCAGATGGCGTTATGAAATTATGCATCATTGCAGAGAAATTTGCTCAAGTAATCCAGAAGTTCTTCCCAAGAAAGCATGAAAATTAATTAAAGTCTTCCCCCTATCCAGAAGTCCGATGCTGTTCCCTTACCGAAAGTGAAGTGATCTACTTTTGACCAAACTTTTTGGAAATGCATTCGCAACATTTCGAAAAATTAAGCAACACTTAGTTTGTATAAGTGTATATTAAGTTCAATCTTAGAAGAAAAGTTATAAGCGTCCTACTTCACTCAAGAATGTTGTCAATCTACCACAAAAAGTGAAATAGAATTAGCATTTCCGAACAGACAAGACGTAACCATCTATCCTCCGGTCCTGAGCTCAGACGTCCATTTTGTCGTATTACTCAAAAGATGTCCTTTCACTAAACTGCACAAATGACCCCAAACTAATTAACTTGTTGGAGAAATTTAGAGTTTAGTCTTCCTTACAAGTCACATTTGGTCCATGAAACTCTTTGTGCTTCATAGTTATTATTTTTACAGAGCTCAAAGCTACTTTTGTTTCTCTATCTCTTATTATCTCTTGGATTTCCACTTTCAATTAACTTATCAAGTTCTGAAATAAGTGATGAGTGATCAATTAATCAATAATCCTTCAATTCCATACTCTTTGGGGGTCAAACATATGATCTATATCCATTTTGATCAGCTAAATGAATCCTTTAAATCCACTCCTCTATTTGTATCCATTTCATTCCGATACTGGTACATACAACAACAACAAACCCAGTGAATCCCGCAGGGTAAAGTGTACGCAGACCTTACCCCTACCTTATGACGGTAGAGAGGTTATTTCCGAAAGACCCCCGGCTCTACTGGTACATAGTTGTCTTTAAAGCAATTAAGAATTCTCTAAAACAAGAGGCTCTCTAAATCCTACACTTATTTCGACACTGACATACAAGTTTCTAACCAAAATATAAATATTCCTGACAAGCAACAGATGTAATGTAATTGTAAAAACAACAATTAGACCAAATTCCAATCAGGTGGTACAGTCTATATGGATCCTTTACTTCCATTATCTTCTGTCTTTACCTAAATATGCACTGATTTCGACACATCCTGTGTTTTTTTAGGACAACTTCCTTTCATGTGATTCTATGTCTAGGTTATACTCTTTTAGCACCTTCAATCAGTCCACACCTACAAACCAACTTATTTGAGGTACATAGAACATGATCAAACCATCTATAAACGACATTCTTTCAATTTTCCTTTATGTGCTACTTGCACCCTCTATCGGATATAATCGTTTTGAATTCAACGACGTATCCATATTAACTTGTGCATTTCTAGGACATTCATCTTGTGGACATATTGTATCCCTGAGACACTACACCTACTCGTGTATAACGTTGGTCCCACAACCAATGTGTAGAATTTGCTATCACTTTGTTAGGTATCGGGTTCAAGGAAGATCTTTTGTGTAAACCAGGGTTAACGGAAATCTCTTTGCATCTCTTCCCACTGTTCTCATACTTGTAACTGCTCTTTCGTACATATCTCTAATACCACTTATATTTGATATGGATCCTTTGCAAAGGACTTTCATCGCACTCTGTCATATGATTTCCGTAGTTCACTGCATCTCATGTAGATATCTTTCTTCCTCTAAAACTTTCTATCAATCTTCGCTGTTATCAAACTACCAAGAATTAACTCACTCAGTCACGCTTAATGTCCCTAAATCCATGCTCCATCACTCTTTTCGCAAAGTTCTACTGTATAAATCGTATCTTTATCTCCTTTGTTCTCATATATTGGAACCAATCTACTCTTTCTCCACTCATTTTGCATCTTTCTTTTCTTAATATATAGCATTGAATTGCTTGGTTAGCCATCACTCTAACTTCACCAAGGCACTTCAAAACCTCTATAAGTATACCAATTGGATCACAAACTTTTCTACCCTTAAATACTCCATGATATACTTTACTTCAACATAAGTTATCTATGAATTTAGCTAAGCTTTCTATCTGTCACACGTGCATGAAGATCAATTAAGTCATCCGTACAATTTGTATTGAGCATTTGATCGAGATAACCTCTCCATCTAGTCTCACTATCTCCGATCAAAACTTGTTGGAAATCATTCTTAATACACTTGGTCCAAGTTTTTCCCCACTTTGTACTTTATCGTGGCATAAATGATGAGAGAAGGCATCAGAAAACCTATGAATTCTAAGAGACAAAACTCCATCATCCAATAAGAGTCACATGTATGTGTGCAAGCACAAACTCCATTCACATGTCTACAACTGGAAACAACTCCTTACTACACCTTGGAACATAAAACATTGCGTAGATGAATGAGTAGCTACAACAATTAAGCAAACAAAATCTGCATACACAACTTTGAACCGTAGTGGTCAGCAGGCTGGATCGTGCTTTGGAAACACATCTGGCAGGTGAAAATACCATACAAAGTTGAATGTTTTGTTTGGCTGGTTGTGAAGAATACTCGTCTAACACAAGAGAATTTGAAGAGAAGGGGAATGCGGCTTTGCTCTAGATGCTACTTATGTGGAAGGGAAGCTGAGAGCAATAGCCATCTTTTTTTGCATTGTCGGATCACAGATCAACTATGGCAAATCTTTTTGAATATAAAAGGGTTGAAATGGATCATGCCTAAATCAACTGGAAAGCTCCTGGCTTGCTGGAATGATTGTGAAGTAGTGGTCAGACAAAAGAAATGGTGGAGTGCTGTTCCGGCTTGTGTTTGGTGGACCATCTGGAAAGGAAAGAAACTCAAGATTTTTTGAAGATATAGGCAACAATATCTAGAAGATTAAGCTGAATTGTTTGTTTTTATTTCACTTTTGGTGTAAAGAGGAATTGGTCGAACTAGTAGAACCACTGTTAAACATCTTAGAGTTCTTGGAAGATGAACTAGGGAACTTTCTGTGCTCATTTTGCGAAATTGTAAATAAGGCTCTTAGTACTGCCTTTGTGCAAATGGAGTAAAATTTGTTACCTTTCTCAAAACAAAACAAAAAATGAAGCAAACAAAAGGAGCCACAGGGAAGAGAGCGTTCCACATTCTAACTATGAAAAAGAAACTTCAATAGCATCTAAGTAGATACAATAAAGAATTAAGTGATATTTATTGGTGTCAAAGAAACAGACTTGAAGGATGAGAGCAACAAATGGCCAAGAACATTCTTGAAACACACTGCAGAAGGAAAGTCCAGAGACATTTAGTAACAGAGTCAATTTATATGAATCTTACCTGAAGGTTCATAGCCAATACTACAGTAACATATGCCAGGTTGCACTGTTAAAAGAGTATTAGTCATCTTGCCATAAAATTACACTGAAAACTAAGACATTTTTTACTGAAAACAAAAAGAGGAAAACTCCCAGAGCAATACAACACTACCATTCTGCGAGAAACCCTCTCAACGTGCATGTCTAGAAAAACTGTCAACAACCTGCAACATGAAGAGGAAGCAACAAGCTTAGAAATAGCAGCAATTATATATCAAGGCAGCAAACATTCAGAGAAGCAGACAAAAAAATACTCCATAGAGGAAGCTCAAACCAGAGTAGAAGACAAAGAATCCAGACTCTAATCCTTGCCCAGTCGTTTGTTCTCAACACAGCATCTCCAGGTTTTCCAAAGAAAAGATAGCTGCCTAGTTGGACGCAAACAAGGTATAACCCCCAATAACCTGATATCAAAAGAAATAATCTTCTAAACCAGAATTTCCAATCATAACGTAAAAAAGCAAGGAAATTAAGACAGGAAATGCTGAAAATATTATGGTAACCAGCTTCAACCCAGCTAAAGTCGATACTCATATAATGGATTAAACATCACATTTGGTTGAAGACGACTCATTTCAAACCTGCTTTGAAATGCTTTTCTTGAGCCGAGAATCGATCGAAAATAACCTCTCTACCTCCACAAGGTACGAGTAAGGTCAACATACATACTACCCTCTCCAGACCCCACTTGTAGGAATACTGGGAATACACTGGGTATATTGTTGTTATTTGATTAAAGAACTCGCGAAGATGTGTAACGAAATAGAAATAGCTAATGTAATGCTTCGTTAACCATGTTTTCTGCCTTGAAAAGAAAAGTCATGGTCAGAGTTTTGACATCCTCTAGGAAAGGGTTCCCAAATAAACAGTTCTTACCTTCTGATGGACATTTGGGAAAGAAATTCAACGCACGGCACAGGAATAAAAATTTAACCAAAAAAGAATCAGAAAAGAAATATTTTTCTTCGGAGTGGCAAGTGTGTGTGTGTGTGTGTGTTGATCTGGATGTTCATTTGTCTCAAAATCTACAAACTTACCTGACACCTTTGTATTCGACCATAGGAAACAGTTAACATGTGTGCTAGATTCAACAAAGGAAGAACCATAAAAGAAAATGAATCCTCAGTTCTTACAACAATAAAGTTACATTACATGGATCAACTTGCAAGATGTGAATATGTGATTACTGCAATATTTACAGTAATATCCAGAACGTACTGAATTTACCTCTAGCTTAACTTTTTTTATTCTTTTGATTTATAAGCATTTGGAAACAAAATGTTCATAATTTTTTCTACATTTAGGTATCTTTTCTTCAGTTCTCTCGGCCCACATCTCAAAATTCACCTAAATAAGTCCACACATTATTCACATAATAATTCCGCTCAAATAAATTAGCATTAGGAAGCAGTTTTACACGTGTATGCTTACACTGACCAAAGAAAAACCCAAAAACTAAATAAAATCCCCAGTTCTTGCCAGAATAAAGTTACAATTTGTGAATCGCCTTAGTCGGAATAGTACCATGTTAGGAACTTATCATGGTTAATTATATTGTGAAGTTTAGTTTGTTTTACAAGCATTGCGACCCAGATCTTTAAAAAAAAAGAGACATATTGGTACCGTTTCTTAACGCCACCTATGTGAGCTAGTCTCAAGTCTAGATAAAGGTGGAAATTGGAATTTGTGATTCCAAGTTAAAACTTAAAGGGGCAACCAGCCAGTCTTCTCCAAAGCATTTCCAGATAGACACAAAGAGACCATAAAACTCAACAAGAGAGTAAGCAAACGCATGGCGGGCGAGAGAGGGAGGGAGGGAGGGAGAGAGAGAGAGAGAGAGATTTATTTTATGTTTTTATGAAGATTTTACTTCACAATAATACTTACCAAAAATGCTAAAAATTCCTTCTTTGTTTTGGCTGATGATGTCAGGTCCTCTTTGGCTTGAAAGAAGATATTCATTTAGCCCAAGCAACAAGAAGACCTCATATCCTAAAACGACAAAGAACGTTATAGGCTTACAAAGCATAGGTACCCAAAATTTTCAGATGGGCCGAGATTGAAACAATACCTAATAGAATAAACCAGCCCAGAATTCCACAATTACTTGGCGAAAGATTAACCATCGATGTCAAAATTGCCACGGCAGCAAGAGTGAAAAAGAAATTCCAGTGCACACCATATTCACCAACGTGAACCTATGATGAGGAAGGGAGTGACTTCTAACAGCTATAATACATAGAAAGTGATATAGACTGAAGAAATGCCTACCAAATGCAGATGAAGAAAGGAACATAGTAACTTTGCAGGTAAATTTCATGAGAAGCATCTGTAACCATTAGTACAGACATATGATGCATTTAATTCAACATACAAACAGAATCATACATAGGTAAGTAGTACGTCAGAGAGAAAGTTCAAAACTACAAGACTAGAAGCTTATGGACCCTTCTAAAATTACCATTTTGACAGAACAATATGATGAGAAAAGTTTATGATGATCGTTGTAGCCAAATACAGGAAAATAAGAATATCTTGTGAAATAGAACTGTAAAGCATTAAACCAAAGGTCTCGTTTCTATGAGATGATAGTGGATTTTAATTTTGACATGACTATTGTTCTGGCTTCCCTATTCGATGGAAGGGACTACACCATGCAAGTAAAACATTGGGCAATCCTGTCGCCAATTTGGCAGTACACTAATTAATAAAGTGACATGTCATTTTGAGAACATAATGTGCAAAAACAAAAGAATAAAAAAAATAAAAAATAAAAACTAGGATTATTACTAGTCATTTAGCATGCTATCCACATTGCAAAGGATGACGACAACCAAAGGAAGGGGACCACTAGTAAACAACATAAGTTCAAAGTTGAGATATATTTGACCATAATCAGAAATACAGACAACAGATCAGTAAACCAAAAGTTCATGATTGAGACGAACTATCATGAAACATTCTCGAAAGCTTCTTTGTAATTTCGTGCATGTATCATATAGGGTGGGGTTGGATACACTTTACATTCAAGTTATTAACTCACCATTACCACAGGCTGAAATGGACCAACAAAAAGGAATTAGGATTCCGTTTACCTGATAATCCACAGTTGATGTGAAAAAGATTCGAGCAAAGCCCAGAACTATAAGTGGACAAGTTGAAGAAATTGCATTTCTCAAATTCCTGGAAAATATAAGAGATTATTAAGAAACTGCCAGATTTCTTTATTAAAGGAGAAAAAGAAGAGAATCAAATAGATACTACAGACCAGAAATTAAATAACAGTTCTAAACTTCTGAATGAAACAACATGATCTGATTGTACTTCCATTACTTATATCAGAGGAATAAAAGTAATGGAACAGAAATTCTCACATTCATAATGAAGAAACATGATCTGACTGCATGTTTCAATATGAACGCACAGGTACAGGGGAATCAGTTATGTACTGTAACATGGTTTCCCGGAAAAATATTATTTCTTGATGAATCAAGAGAACATATAAAGCATCAAAGGTGACTAGTTGAAAGATATGTTAAGCACCCCAAAGAATCAAATGAATCAAATAGGATAATCAATTGGAATTTCATGGAACAAAAAGATCTAAGAAAAAACACGACAGCAGTGTACCTAATACAGGGGAATCTGTAGCATACTGTTTCCAGAGCTCGATAAAAAGAAATTAATATTTTTGAATATTTTGTAGGGCAAAAACATGTGCCATTTTTGTCGGCGCTGCTAAGTGAAACCTACTGAAGAACTCCAATACATGATTTCAAACCCCGTAGGCCTCACTCAAACTTATTAGACTCAAACAGAAGATGCAACAAATTAAAGGGAAATGCGTAGTAGTGAAGAATTAAATGCTGTTGAACAGTATACTTTCAACATCCTTTAGAAATAAAACCCCTTGATAGAAGCTTGGACATAGCAGACAATTAGCAAACTTAGACACATATATGTCACTGTGCAATTCTAAACATATAACGCAGCACTAATCTGAAATTATTACAAGAATGAGCCTTCATGTCGTGCTATAATTCCATATATTTTGACGTTATTTACCCTACTTGCTTATTGTTTGGATGCTAATTTGTGCGACAATTGCGCTTAATAGAGCTTATTTCACGTGTAGGAATGCTTGGACATGAATTGGAGAAAAGTTGCACGGAATGGTACCTCAGAGCTAAAAAATGGAGCAATAAAAGAAGAAGTGCAAGGCAACGAAACAACAGTGCCATAGACAGTGCAAGGCATTGTCCAGGGCACTGTCATTGGCACCCCAGACAGTGCCTTGAGCCGAAACAATGGCGCCATAGACAATGCCTCGCGCCGACAATGCCATCCGAGCAAATTTTAATTCCTCATTAGTTTTGGACATGTAGAATTCGGCTCCTACCCAATAAATACCCCTTAAAGTTAGTTTTTTGAGGGAGAAACATCATTAGAGAGGGAATTGACCTAAGGAGGCAAGAACACACAAGGAGCAAGGCGAAAAATTCTTCTACGAGTTTTTCACTTTCTTCTTCCTATTTTCATTATTGGTTATGAATTCTAGTATTGTAGTTTTGCATACTATTTTGAATAGCTAATTTGTTATCTAGGGTTTTGATGAAACCTTTGGTAGGATGAATTCTTGATACGTTTTGATATAATTGAGCCTTTGAATTTTTCTATTAGATCAACTATGTGCTTATTTTAGTTAATTGAAGAGCTATCAATTAACGGTGCCTATTTATTATGTATTGCTTGAAAAAGAGTACATAGGTAGGTGGTTGTTGAACAACGTCATTCCTAACGTATATGAGAGATCAATACGGCGGGTTTAAAAGTAGGATTAGAGGTAACGAAGTTTTGACGTGATCATAGTGAGCGGTGAAAAAGTGCGAGCTAGCGTAATTCGAGAGAATATGACTAGTGTCTAGTACATTGTTGTAGTTGCTCGAGAGAGAATTACGATAAGTCGAGTGCTCATGATCAGTAGAGAATACTTAGGCGAAATTATAGAAGGCGTAGAGGGAAGGATTTCGACAATTGGGGAAATCATTACTCTAGACCTCCTTAATCTTTTCTCCAACCTGTAGTATCTTTAGTTGTTACTCTACTACTTTAATTTGTTAGTTAATTAGATATAAGAATCTTAATATTTATAATTTAGGAATTGTTCGAGCTTGTCTTCTTAGTGATAGTCAACAGTTGTAGCTAAACCTTAGTTCTCTGTGGGATTCGACTCCGAACTTTTAGACCGGATTATATTTGCTGCGACCGCTTATCCTTTTTAGGACTAGAGTTGGACGTGATCAAATTTTGGCGCCGTTGCCGGGGAACTAACGGTGTAGTTGTAGCTGTATATATTGCTAGGTTTCAAGTTTGAACTTTCATTTTGTTTTGTTTTGTTTTATTTTATTTTTTTTATTTTATTCTAACTATTGATTTGAGAAATATGACATCTTGGAATTATGGGAATTTAGGTGTAGAAAATTCTACTATTGATCCTCATACATATTGTGAAGGAAACCACCCGTGTCAAAATTATTAAAATATTCCCGAGAGCGAGTTATGTGCACCAACTCAATCTTATTTGTGGAATGTGTGTGATGGTAAAAATGGTCACTTTCATGGTTGTGCTTATATTTCTTATCCTCCCCCAACCCCTTACTATGATGGTTCTACTTTTTCTTGTAAAGTTAATAGGAACAAAGAACCTGGGGATGCGGACCTGAAAGAGATCAAGGATATGTTAAAGTGCCTTCTGGAACAAAATAATGAGAAACAACTGCAGATAGAAAGGCAAGAGGCAACTATTTGCAACTTGGAGGCTCAGGTGAGTCAACTGGTTGAAGCTTTTAATGCTCAGCAAGCCAATTTTGGGGATAACAGCCAAGAAAAGCGTGAATTTGAGGTGCTAATTGAGGAGGTCAGAGTAGAACATCAATAACCTAGCCAACTACAATTTGAGGATGTCAATGTTGAAGAAGTGAGACTAGAGTCAGCCAAGGACATTGAGGATTTAAATTTTGTTGACTCTAGTATCATTGATGTTGAGATGTTGAAAGTCCTGAAGTTCATGTGTTTGAGCACATTGGTCCTCACTCCAAACATTTTTCCACATTTTGCTTGGATGATGATATGGAAATAGAGTCATCCGAGCCGATTGAGGAGTCAAGGAATGAGGAACAAGGTGCCTACATTCTGGAATTTTTCTTGTCAGAAAGACAGGACTACATACCTCATCTAAAAGCCAAGAAGTGTAGAATAGTACAATGGTTGCTTGGGCCAATTAGATTTGTTCCACTACCCCTGGAGCATAACCGAAAACTTGAAGCCAAATTGGGGGTTCAATTCATAAGCTCGAGGTGGAGGCAGAAAGTGGTTCATGTCGTGCCGCGACGTTAAATCAGGCGCTTGTTGGGAGGCAACCCAACTTTACTGCTTTCTTTTATTTTTAGTTTTTTTTAATTATTTTCTTATTGAATTATTTTTATAGTGTCGTTTTTGATTTTTTAGAAGCATGGGAAGCATAGCTATTGGAAGGATGCAACATCAAGCCATATGGTTAGAACTAAGTGTGGGGTGCCCGCACAAAAGAAAATATCCGGGAGAAGTCTGAGTACCCCATGAGCTGCTAATGCTTCGGCCTTTGGCCTACCAGAAAGTTTCTTTTACCCTCTTATTATTTATGTTGTACATTGGGGACAATATATAATTTTAAGTGTGAGGTGAAGAGATTGTCTGGGTGACTTTCTGTGCTATTTTAGTTGTGTTAGTTTAATAGATAATTTTTTTTTTGGAAAACAAAATTGAATTTTTTCTAACGATGGATTTCCTAAACAATTTTCTTGAGGGATTTAAGTCTAAACAAAATATACAAAAGAAATTAGAAAATAGGAAAATACAAAAACATGTCTTTTTTTTATTTTCCTTAGATAGTAATAATCCTCCGTGGTTTTTCTTCGTGCCTCGGTTCTTTTCCATGAGATGTAACTTGAACTGGGTAGTAGATTTAGTTTTTTTTAGTTTTTACTTTTAGAGTAGTATGTAGGAAATAAAGGAGAAGAACTGATGTGATTTGTACCTTTTGACTTGTTTGATGGGTTGCATACTTAGGTTTTGGCATGTGTTTCACCTTCTTTTAGTTTTAAATATATGATGATGCCTTGGTAAAAATGAATAACATGTGGTATAACTCCTATGTCTCGGTTGCTTGACTTGTGTTCACTTTGTGCTTTATGCTTAAAATACCTCTTGGCTTTGTGAATACTTGTTTGATTAAGAGTCCGAATGAAACCGTCCTTAGTGAGTCATGTGCCATGTGTGAAGTGAGTTCTTTGTATAGTCCATGTTATTGCTGTTAGTTTACAGCATGTATATAGTATAGTATTGTCCCACATTGGTAGAAGAATAGTATGTCCTTGTATAGTATAGCTATAAATAAGGACCTCTTGTATTGTATTGTTCATCTAATATCAATAACATATTTTCTCCCGTGCCTTCTCACATGGTATCAGAGCAATTGTGAGAGACTTATCGCTGTGCATAAATTCCAGCGATTCCGGGAAAGAGAAATCGGTACTTTTTTAAGGCTGTTTTCTATCTGCTTCATTTCTGTCAGTGTTGTGCAAAATCCAACACTACCACAAGAGTCGTAACTGTCCGGCGACCAAACCCCAGTGAAAAACTCCGGCAGCAGC